AGACCAGGCTGGCCTCGAACTCACAGAGATCCACCTGCCTCTGCCTCCCGAGTGCTGGGACTAAAGGCGTGCGCCACCACCGCCCGGCGAAGTTGGCTTTTTTGTTTGGTTGGTTTGGTGTTTTTTTTTTTTTTTTTGAGAAGGGATTCTTTGTGTAATAGTTCTGGCTGTCCTGGAACTAACTCTGTAGACCAAGGCTAGCCTCAGACTCAGAGATCCCCCTTCCTCTGGGAGAACTTGGCTTTGGAAGTTGGCTTTGTGCAGTGAAAAATGGAATCACATCACTGAGTTTAGAGTGGAACATTTTGGTGGCACACACCTTTCATTGAGCACTGGGTGGCAGAGCCAGGTGGAGCTCAAGTTCAAGGCCTGGTTTACAGATGGAATTTAGGAATGCCAGGGATACACAGAGAAGCCATCTTGGCAAAAAGAAAGAAATCATTGCTTGAGGCAGGGACAGGCCAGTCTCCTGAGTTTGAGATCAGTCAGGCCTACATAGAGTGAGACCTTATCTCAAAAAACAAAAACATAAAAAAACCAAACCCAAAACTGCCTTTAATCATAGCACTCGGGAGGCAGAGTGGAGTGCATCTCTGAGTTCCAAGGCTATCCTGGTCTACAGAGTTGAGTTCTAGGCTAGCCAGAGCCACACAGAGAAACCCTATCTCTAAGAACCAAAACAAACAATTTTTTTCTTATTGATTATCAGCATTAGATGTGTGAGATATTTGGGTTAAGGACAGACAAATAGTATACTGAGGTGGTGAATATTCTTTTATACTTTGAAGACTGAATTAGGAATTTCTCTGAATAGTGGCTCCACTATTCAGTCTTAGCTGTCCTGGAACTCGATTTGTGGACCAGTCTGGCCTCGAACTCACAGAAATCTGCCTGCCTCTGCTTCCCAAGTGCTGGGATTAAAGGCGTGTGCCACCGCGCTACTGTGGCTCCACTTTTTAAGTGGTCCTGTTAGTATTAAGTGGTAGTACTGTTTCCCTGTGTAAACCAGCAGCATTGTGTCCATAACAACTAGCAGAACCCAGATTAGGGCTAGTCTAGTCTAGTCTAGTCTAGCACAGCACATCCTGAGAGTTTTGAAGAAGGTACTTTCGTTATCACTGTCCACTAGATACCTGGTATGACAGAGTGTCTTTTTTTTTTGGGTTTTTCGAGACAGGGTTTCTGAGTAGCTTTGCACCTTTCCTGGAGCTCACTTGGTAGCCCAGGCTGGCCTTGAACTCCCAGAGATCACCTGGCTCTGCCTCCCGAGTGCTGGGAATAAAGGTGCCGCCGCCGCCGCCGCCGCCGCCCGACTTGACAGAGTGTCTTTTACATTAAAAAAAAAAAAAAACTTTAAAATTTATTTATTAAATTTATTTATTCTTATTTTATGTGTGTTGCTGTGAGTGTTGGGCCCCCTGAAACTGGAGTTACAGACAGTTGAGCTGTCATGTGGGTGCTGAGAATTGAACTCAGGTCCTCTTTTACCTTGTTTAATGCTTAAGGATGCTCAAACATTCTTAGACCACTTCTGATGCCTTCCCAAAGAGCAAGTGACTATAACAGAATCAGTCTTTTTACTTGATTTTATTTAACTCCTTTGTTTTAGATAGAGGGTCTCAGGTACTTTAGGCTGGTTTGGAACTCATTCTGTACCCAAGAATGACCTTGAATTCCTCCTGCCTTCACCTCAAAACAGCTGGGATACAGGTATGTGTCACTATGTCCAGCTTTGCAGGATTTTTAAAAACTGACTTTGCAATGGTCCTATCCTATGTTAAGGCCTGATTAAATTCACCCAGGACACCATCTGGTGGTGAAGGGCCTGCAATTGCAGATGTTGAGTGTGTAGGAGGGATTAATGGTGAATTAATGTTATACTTCTTTTCTCACATACAGAATTTAAGAGAGAGTTTAACCTTGGGAGTAAAACCAAGGTCCACGGGCTGTGTACTGTGGGTCTGTGATACCAGTATTCGAGAAGGTGTAAGGCAGGAGAATTTTAGGTGAAAGCTATCTTGGTCTGTATAGTGAGATCCTATTTCATTAAGAAGAGAACAAGCAAAATCATGAGGTTAATGAGAAGAAAGAGGAGCTGGTACAAAGAATGTGACAGAAATAATATCATCGTGCTAGTGAGAGGATTCAGCAAGGGGAAGCATACACTGCCTGAGGACTAGAGTTTGATCCCTGGTACCCACAGAAGGGTGGAAGGAGAGAATTGGTTCCTTAAAGTTTTGTTGTGGACGCCATGCGTGCCCATCCCTCCCTCAGTAAGATCCAGTAGGAGGGAGAAATGGGCCGTTTTCTCCTGAGGCCACACCATCACACACAGGGTTGTGTGCTTTGATTTCTGAGTGCTCCTAGGCACTGCTTAAAACTGTCCAAGTCCCTTCATAAACTGCAGCTGTGTTTTTAAAAAAAGGGCTTCAGGGAGAACTGAATGCCTGGAGACTGACTTACTAGGTAAGTCAGCTAGCAGGCACGATTTCTTTGTTTTTACTCCCCCCCCCCCTTTTTTTTTTTTTTTTCTTTTGGTGTTTTGAAATGGGGTTTCTCTATGTAGCCCTGGCTGTCCTGGAACTCTTTCTGTAGACCAGGCTGGCCTTGAATTCACAGATCCACCTGCCTTTTTCTCCTGAGTGCTGGAATTACAGCCACTGCCTGGCTAGGAGAGACAGGGTCTCTAGTCCTGGCTGTCCTGGTTGAACAGAATAGCCTCAAACTCACAGACATCCTCCAGTCTCTGCCTCCCATGTGCTAGCAAAGCATTAAAGGAGTGCACCACCATGCCTGGCTTAGGAATTTTGTTTTTATTAGATTATGCTATGAATATAAGGTGTTTTGCCAAACTTTTAGATAGTTAAGGAAGATCACACTTGACTACTTCCATATTACTCTCCTGAGAACGCAAAATGCTAAAAATATTTGTATCTCCTAGGATCACAGTGTTCATCCAAGAGGTTTCAGTTTATATCTATTTCTAAAGCTATTTGGCTATAGCCTGGTTTTCTCTTAAAGTGACTTTCTAATCCAAGTCATAAGGACCCTATGGGCATTCTGAATAAACAAAGACTATAGCTTCTGGCTTCAACACTGCTGAACTGTATTGTATTAAAATGCCTGAGTATTTTAGGAATGTTGAGCCTTCAGAAGGGTGGTTTCCTTAGAGGCATGCCATGTTTATCCCCTGTAAAGTTTTTAATTTTTTTTGGTGGGGGGGAAGGGGGATGATACATTGGACATTTAAAATGAGGACCTAAAAAAATGGTGCATGTGCTTGTGTAGGCCAGAGGTAGCAAGCTGTTGGGAGTCCCCATTGCTTTCAACTTACTTTCTTTCTATCTTTCTATCTCTCTCTCTCTCTCTTTTTTGATAAAGGTCTCCCACGGAATTTGACTTACCAGTTGGCTATGCTAGCTGGGCATTGTGCCACACAGATTTGCCTGTGTCTATCTCCCGGTCTGCCATACTGGCTAAATAAATGTGTGTGCTAGGGATCTGAACTCGGTTCTAACTGCCTGCTTGGCAGGCACTTTAATGACCTAGCAATCTTCCTCTACCACACCCTACCTCCCAACCCCAGGATTTTTTCCCAAGGGGAAAGTTTGAAAAAAGGGCCCAACAAAGTGGTCAAAACGCGCCCAAAAACTGGTCCATTGGGAGGCACCCAGGCAGTGGGACTGGGACCTGTCCTTAGTGCATGAGCTGGCTGTTTGGAACCTGGGGCTTATGCAGGGACACTTCCCTCAGCTTGGGAGGAGGGGACTGGAAAAAAAAAAAAAAACTTGAGTAGCTGCAATTACACACTTGTCAGGCTGAGAGTTACTGTTTTTGTCAAATGTTTCCGTGGCTTGGAAATCCACCCCTGCCTCAGCCTGCTAGGTGCTAGCTTTTGTAGGCCTGCCTTACCTGGCCTGGGCTTCATATTTGCCTCTTGCTATTATTCTGTCAAGCAAATAGTACTGTGTTAAGTTTGTGTGATGCCACAACATAAAT